ATAAGCTATTTCTAATTTCGCGTGTTTATACATAAAACATAAGAGGTTGGAGTAGCCAGTTTATATATACTAGAATGGATACACGGCCGAGAATTATGTTTCATAAATATTTCAGCTTTCTAGATTGTCTGATTTCCGTGTTGGAAGGCTGCCAACAATCTCGCAACTTGAACTTCAGGGCTCTGCACGTGGAACACTGATGTACACGAAAGTCGATTTTAAGTCCCTAGGAGCGAAAATGGATGGAAAAAACTTTCGTAAAACTTCCAGCTCCTTAATTTCCTCGCTAGCTGTGTTGAAAAACCCAATGATATCCGAACAAATGTACACATAGGCGCAAACGTACACATACACACACATATATACCTATACACACATACCCTAGGCATATACAAACAAGCACACACGTACGTAAACACTCGGGATCTCGACAATATACGATTTTGCATTATATTAATGATACAAAAACGCGTAAAAATGAAGACACAAACGAAGAGGTGACGGTTTCTAGTTGTATTCACACGCTACTGATCCCCTTGGCGTTAGGCAATCGAGTATCACGCTTGAAAAGGTCCGAATTCTGATAAATGTTCATCTGATATTTCTGAAATCAAAAAGCAAATTCAACACAAAAAATCGGGTGATGGCTCGGGTATCAGGCGACCTCAATAATATGTACTTATTTTAACGCAGAAAAATCCAAGATAAACGTGAAAAACAAACCAAAAGCGTATCTCTTATTTTCCTCTTCATGCGTAGCGCCGTATGTCGACAGTCAATATTGGTACTCCAACATTCACTTATCAAATCGCAGATATCTTTCAGGCAAGGCTAAACAACGAAACAAATTAGAGCAATTTGGAGGATTCTAAGTCGAAAAAAATCATAAGAAAAAGGCAAAAAATAACTATAATTGCAATAATAACAAATGTTAACGACATTGATAATTACATCTCTCTTCCACTCATCTTCCAGTAACGGTCTTTTGCCTTGTACACAAACAAC